ATGTTTGAACTTGAAAGGGACAAATTGCTAAGGCTGTCAAATGTTGCACAAGCCTGAGTTGATGATTGCGTACAAAACATGACAACAAAACAGAGGCTCACAAAAATCATCCCAGTACCTCAAAGTAGCAAGTATCATAACCCATCGAAGAAAATGAGAATCCATTGCAAGCAGAAATCGTTGGAGCAAAAACATTTACTGCCTGGTCTAACTATTCAAAGAATCCGTTCTAGCCCGAAATCAGAAATTCAAATTCAACCCATTTAACGCTCTCAGCAAATCCAATTAAATTTAAACAAATTCCAGTGCCCAAAAATTCCAATACAAAGCAGAAACCAAGAAAGCATGAGAGAAATGATCAAACCCCAATTGATAACAAAAGAAAAAGTGGAAAAAAAAAAAAAATCAAAGGTGTGGAAAGTGGAATACCCGCCCTAATTAAGCCCAGAAGCACCAGTCTTCTTCAATCCTTTTCCTTAAGGGGAAAGCTGGCGCCGATGGAGAAGCTGGAAGACAATGCCAATACCAATCCCAATCCCTTAATGTTATCCGCCGACATTCCCTTGTAAGGGTCTGCCCAGCCCCCACCTGAACCTGAATGCCCCACCGCCATTGTTTATGGCCTCGGTTATCCAACTACCGGCACCGCCAATCCAAACATAAATATATACCAATACCCAACACCCCAATTGCTTCCAAGACTATGTTACAAAACCCTCAGTCCCCCTTCTATCACCATCATCATCATCATCATCATCACCATCACTTTCCAGGTATCACTGTTGTTCTCTTATTTTCTCTTTCACCAGATGACTCCGTCTTCATATAGACTGAAAACGCAAAATGCATTCAGAGACGCAGAGAATTTCAGGTTGAATTGCTTGTTTTGATTATGGATTTTAAGATTGGTAAGGTTTTTGACTTTGGGTGTGAAGAGTATCAAGCTGGATTAAATATAGAAAAAAAAAAAAAAAGTAATTTTTGTGTACGATTCTAATTAATTAATAAAATTTTTTAAATACCAACTATCTAGTAATCTCCTCCAACGATTTATATAACGATTTATATGATACGGCGGGTGATACGGCGGGTGGAGTGGGATGAAGATTGAGGGGTAATTATTTTTTATTATATAATTATTTTAATAAAATAAATAAGTAAAATTTTTTTAAATAAGATAATTACTATGTAACTAAATAATATTAGGTAGTGTGGGATTAATGTTATCACCAAGTCCAAATCTAAGACTTAGGTGCGACATGACACAGTCTTTATTATTGAGAGATGAATGTGGTTGGTAATTAATTAATAAAATATAAAACCTCCAATGAGGAAGTAATGTATGGTAGTCTC